TTACACACCTTTATAGTAAAAGCTGATTTCCTTTTTTTCTTTTATATTTACTAATTATTTGCTAATAATTATTTTGGGGAAAGTATCCCTCATTCAAATTGTTGTGGAACTAGTGCTTAAAAATTAAAACAAAAGCTTGAGTGAACTAAACTGCACAAACACACACACAATTACTGTCACCCATTAAAGACACATATATTCATGATACAGCATTAGTTACACTACTCCACCAGATGGTGTCATGTCAGTGGAAGACTGGATGTAAACTCACACACTGAAGGAGAGCGGGACTTCTCATATCCTCGTACAGCACAGGAAAAGCTGCCTGCAGGATCAAAGGGGCCTGAATATGTAGATGTTTCTTCCTGAATTTTCTGTCCGTTCTTGTACCAGTGTAGAAGGATGGCCAGGTAGACGACAGCTGCTGTGACACTTCAGCTCTGCCCAGGGAGAATACTTTGATCTGCTCACCTGCACCTGCAGATCTGAATACATGAATAACAGAAATCTTCATTTCTAACTGTCAACACATACAAGCACACAGATGCAAGTAACCTTCATAAGATGTTGAACACTTGAAACTAAATGATAAATATTCAGATGAAAATGTTACCTGTGACAAAACTTCATTTAGTAACTGACCTTTGAGCCTAGATTTCTTCATGAAACATTTACAGCACTGATTGCTTGATATTGATACTTTGGAACAAAAAACTATTTAAATGAAAATGTTACCTGTGACAGACAGAGTGACTCCAGGTAACCAGTATATTTCCCAAGTTCTTGGTTTGTTATGAACCTGAACTTGTACTCAGCTGAGTCGCTCTCTCTCAGGTCTGTGATTCTCAGAGTGCAGCGTTTGTTCTGACAATATACTCCACACGACCTGAATACTCTGGGTCCGTTTTCAGATCCACTTGAACTTATTACTCTCTTTCGTAAACCAGAATGTTTCCTGAACTTTGGTATCATGATTATTTAAGCTGGATGGATATGTGTAGGTACAGTTTATGTCCACTGTTGATCCTTTTAAGGCACAGATCTGAGTTGGAGTGTAAGTCACTCCCCAGCCATTCTGACTCTGTACCACTGAAAAACAGATGACATCAGAAACCAAAATCAGATTCAAAACATCAGAGAACAAACTTATTTTCATATATTTATTTTTGTAAAACTTAACTGAACTACTGCACATGTACAAAACTGCGTTGGGAGTCAAACCCTTTGCCATGGAGAATTAACAGTCTACAGGTTTTCATGTCATTTTAAAGACTTTTAGAGGCAGAGGGGAGAAAACCTGTAGACTGTCGGCTCTTCATGGCACAAGACTGGACAACTTGTGTAGGTTCTATGTAATATCCTGTAAGACAAAGAGGATCAAGGTACCAGCGTGTTTTTGGGAACAGCTATCCTGGATAAGCAGTGTCACAAAAACGTATCTCTGTAACTAGAACTGAAAAAGAATAACGTATTTTATCAGGTGTTTCAGTTTTTATTGATACAATAGGAATATTTATCAATGTTGGTGCAACAGCTTCGGTCCATTCATTTAAGACATAGAAAAGGACATTAGGGGGGAATCGGAGGAGCATTTATTTACTTTTTGCTTACTAAAACCTTGTATTAAATATTTGTTGGAGATCATACACCCTAACTCTGAAGTCTCATGGAGGGGATGATGGCACAGACGTAACTATTGTTGACTAGCTGTCAGTTTTAAAGATCAAGTCATCAAATCCGTCTAATTTAAAAAATAAATTCACTTTGTGGTATGGCTGCTGACTGAAGGCCTTCCCCATAACATCAGATATAGCTGATAGCTGATCCAGGGTCCCGTGTGTGCAGGGGGAATTTAAAAAAGCATCATCAATGGAGATCTGATGGACGATTCACCATGGCAACAGGTAAACAAGCCTCTATTTTAACCCAGTGATGCTCAAAACGTGGACCATGATGTTTCTCTTAAATCACAGGATGAAAGGAGTCACTTAGTTAACAATAATACATTTTATTCAGCGTAGTCTGCTATTCATCATTTACCAGACTAAATTTCTGTAATGTTGCATTGGATTTTAATTATATTTATTCACCTGTAACCTGACAGGGACAAAATACCACTGGCAATAACTGAAGATGAAATATAGATAAGACACAGTTTAGTCATGGACCTATGATTAGTCCGACCCAGTAATAATAATTTTGGTCATTTGCATTTGAAAATGTGTCTCTGTTCAAACTGACTGTAAGTTTTAGACGTCCAGCCTATTTTATGTAAAAAAATTATGCTCATTTCACATTTAGATACAATGCTTCTATGGGTGGAGCCTGATTCGAAGCTTCGCAGCGAAACATGCAATTTTGTCTATATGTTAGTGTCAACGTTTAATTTTACATAGAACCACCAGTTTTCTGACAATAAGTTAATATACAGCCAATTACAATATACATTTCAATGTTTGATCTTTAACTAAACATGTGTAAAGAAAAACACTTTCAATAAATGTTTTTAAAGTGCGTAAATAAATCCAAAATTGTAACCCTGGGTCGTCATGTGTAGGCGTAGCTTGTATGTTTGTGGTGGCAGAAGAGGAACACTTGCTGAAAAGATGGAGCCCCAGCTTCACCGGTGTTGTGCCGAGTTGTCGCGGGACTTTTGGATAATTTGTCACCGTTGATGAACCACACAAAGAATATTATATCGTTTTTAGACCCGCGAGGAACCGCGACGCGCATGCAGTTGTCGGCAGCACGGCATGCTCGTAAAACTCTGCACAAGACCGGTGAATGGCAGGAGGGAGGGAGGGAGAGAGGGGGGGAGAGAGAGGTCAAAAATAAGCCTCAGTTTAGCTTTAGGGACAGCCCTAAACATGACAAATGATTGTTCATTGATCAGTTAGGCTACAGGCATATAGATTAGTTTGATTGAAACAGTGATTACTGCAGTAGTGTAGGCCACTAAATGTTTCAGTGTAACTGTTGCTGCCTTAATGTCCACAGAGTCACAGTGATACACAGAAGGACAGAGTAGCCCGTATAGATTTTATCTGTGCTGAGGATGAATCCACAATGTCGCTGTCTCAGTCCTTACATTGATGACAGATTGATCATAAAGTGGTCATGTTGAAGATCATGTTTGGGTACGGAACCTATATCTAACTGGGACTTTGATGTTTGCAAAAACTTCTGCAAATGAATGTTTTCAGTTTCTGCTTTGGTATCGACAGTATGAATGAGGAAATGAAACGCTGCGTCAGACCGCTGCTTCAGGCTCCGCAGGAGGGGAAGAGTCAGAGAAACTCAGCATTTGTTGAAGAAAACCTTCTCCCGAGCAGCTTAGCTTTACAGCATAAATTGCTGGAGTTACTGATCTCGTTTTTTTTTTCTGATCTCGGTCTCTTAAACTGATAACGCAGAGTTTCCCTCATCTAAGGCTTAACATACTTCTAGTAATCCTCTTTCTGAAACTGGCCATGGACTACAGAAAATTATGACAGATTATCAAATCAAAATTATTTAATGTGTGTAATGAGGCAGAAATGCATAGTTAAATGTAAAGAGGAGACAAAATAAATACCATAATAAAGAGGGTAGAAAATGCAAAGGAAGAATAATAAACATATTAACAAAAATATTAAAATAAAAAATACATTTGAAAAACAATTAAGTTGAAGATTATAAAGGGCAATAAATAAATAAGGTAATTAATACAAAGGTGAATAAATACATAGAAATAGTGTTTTAAGTGAGACTCCCAGTAAACATGGAGACCACCTGAGTAAATCTTTATAAATTGCATCATAAATTAGTATTTTAGTGTATTTTCCTTTATCACATATTTAATAATTATGAGTAATTCAAGGGTATATCACAATTTATTTAAAAATTGATTTGCCTTATCCGTACACACACACACACACAGATTATATGTGAAAAATCCAATTAAATCCACAAACCACTATGTGCTACCAAACCAGATACAGACATTTAACATCCAAGTAGAAGCACTGAGTCCAAAAGCTAATGTTGGTGTTGCAGTCAGAGTTTTAAGGTGTTTTAAATTATCACACTGCATAAAACAGGTCAAATATAGGAATATGGAGATCTCAGAATGAATAATTTAATTAAATGTTCTTTCTTATACTCACTTCAGGTTGCTCTGACTAAATGTAAATACATAAATGTAGATATACAGCACCTGGTACAGTCAGGAGAAGGACGACAAATCCTCTCGCTGCTGCTGTTAACCTCATATCTGCTCCTCGCGTCTCGCTGTGTGACTTCAGAGACATTAAAAGATGTCTGCAGCTAAATAATGTCCACAGAAGTAAATCATTCGCATCAAAAACACTTCTACCTAACATGAAAGGAAGTTATCTTGAAAGACAACGTTACTCTGTAAAATCCTCCCAACTTCCTTCCTCTTTACATCATTTACATGAATAATGAACCAAATATACAAGTAGACTTAAGTTCACACTAAAAAGTAACTTGCTTTGTTGTTTTTGCAAACTATGAACTTTCTGTCTATCTATTTAAGAGAGTGTAACAAACTAGTTTTGAGGCACTTCAGAACATCCAACAAACAACAAAGACTATCTAAGGAAATCTTATCGTAAATGTGGTCATAGTTTAGGGTCTGTCAGTGATGCTAAACTAAACAGGAACAGAAGGAAACAGTTTGATGCATCGCTTGGATGCACACCATGGGTTCAAATTGTTGTGCTGCATCAGTGTGGAAAAAAGTAACATGATGCAGTCTTATTGATAGTATAAGACCTATTTTTCAAAAAAAAGTTACATGAAAAGACTAAATGTTACAAAAAGTCAGACAAATTATATTTACAGGTGAATGCAGTCAAATACTTTACATATTCTAAAAACAAAGTAAGTTTCTCTAGGGCATATAATTCATTTGTAAATCTTGGAGAGGCATATCCCAAGAAAAATATTAACTAAAAGAAAGAACTAAAAAAGAAACAGAATTATCATAAATGCAATATCTGTTTTGGTCGTTGACTGTGCTGTACAATGCAGATGGATCCTCTCCAGGTTCCTGACCTCTGGATCTGAAAAAAAGAAGATATTGTTTGAAAAAATATAATTACCATCACATCCCAACAGTGTTTTAGAGTTTAAAATATAAAAAACAGGGGAAATGACAAATCAACACATTTATTTCATTTGTTATGTCATCTGAATCTTGCAGTGAGTAGTGTTGTAGTACTCGAGACCGGTCTTGGTCTCGAGTACTACAAAAAAACGTATTGCTTCAAATGCAACCAATAATCCTACTTAAAAATATGTTCCCCCTTCCTGCGATGGTAAACATGGAAAAGGAGTGTTGAATAAAGATGCTTTTGTTGATTTCAGCTCTTAGTGTTTGTATGTGGGTGTTTTACTGGGAATGTGGATCTTTCAGATCAACCTGAGAAGTACCTATGATCTCGTTCCACATTTTATTGTGTGTCATGTAATGTGGGGAACTGGTCTTGGTCTCGACTTGGTCTCAGCCCTTAAAAGTCTTGTTCTTGTCTCAGTCTCAATAAACTCTGGTCTTGGTCTTCACATAGTCTCGGTTTGGGTTGTCTTGACTACAACAATTGTAGTGAGGATAATGTGAGAAGAGCTGCTCACCTCGGGGCAGTATTACTCTTAAATGTGACAACAGCGTACTCCATGAAATCTTGTTGCTCCGTGTGTCTGAGGGAGCGAGCTGGTCTGATGTTGGAGTAGAGAGGATCTGCCTGGTTGTTGGTGAAGTGAATGCTGGCATACTGAAGGTTATCCTGCTCCTCTGGCTGTTCAGGTAGAAACTGCACAGACATATTTTACATGAGTGGGTTTTTCATCTGAATAGTGAATTCTTACAGATGATTGCAACCAGGACAGAAAAGACTGAAGCAACTACAGCTGTGGTAATGATGGAACAATTCCTCCTACAGGACTATAGGTTTTTAAAGAGTGACAGGAAAAAAGTCACCAATGAAACCCACAATATTATCAATTTATAGCATGTAAAAGTGCTTAGCAAACAGATAATTTATGCAAAGGAAAGAGCAAAAGAAGTTAAAAACGAGAGTCCTAATATCCATTAAAATTTACACAAACAACAACTATATAAAAATGTATTAATCTGGGGAGTTTCCACAATTGTAAATAAAACCAATGTTTCTAGTTTGCCTTTCACACAATTCTGATCCACTTATTTCCACATGTGACCTTCAGCCTACTTTTACAAGACCCACATTTTCACAGATTCTTCCTTTTAATGCAATAATGTAAGTTTAGATATTCAGTACCTGACACAGAGAGAAGGGAGACGACAAATCCTCTCGCTGCTGCAGTTAAACTCATAGCTGCTCCTCTCATCTCTCTGTGTGGCTTCAGAGACAATAAAACATGTCAGAGATAAAATAATGTACACAGGAGATATACAGTTTCAGTCACATCAATAAACAATTCTACTTACAATGAAGAAGGATGCTGTCTTTAAAGAAGCCTTCCTCTGTGGTCAGTAAGCAGAAGATGGATATCAGGCTGTTAAACGACTACATTTCCTTCCTCATTAGATTATTAATATTCACAAGCTTACTGCCAGTTAACATAAATATCACAATAAAGTTGTAACATTTGTTAAATAAAATAATAAGAGAGAATAAGAAAATATTGTTATGGCCTGTTGGTATTAAACCTGTTTCACTGTAAAAATCCCAGACACAACACATTTTTAAACTCTCCCTATTTTAAGCACCAAAACAAGACTGGTGTAAAAGTTGGTTTGATGCATCACTTGACACTTCAAGTGCATCTTTAGAAAGTGAAAAATTACCTTTATAACAGTTTAAGTTCAAAGAGATGTGCTGCAGCAGTATGGGATGCAAAAAGTCTCATGCTGAGCACAGTCATATATAAGTATTGAGAAACATTTCAGAAAGAAGAAGTGGATTATATGAAAGCGGAATCTTTTTTAACAATTACAGTTTGCAACTCACTCACAGTCATTCTGACTCTTTATCTCTGTGTGAACTGAGGCAGGATGTCACACAGTCTGCAGGTGCAGTGAAGGAACAGGAATGCATTGGACCTGTGAATGAGGCTGTTTTACTGAACGTGATGAAAAGCAGAGTTTTAATTACAAGAGGAGGAAACAATTTTTTTTGTGTGTTCACTTTTGAGTCAGGTTGCTTTTCTTTGCTGAGAAATGCAGAACACTGAGACCTGAGAAACTCACATGTACATGTAACACATAATCAAGTGGACTGGTAGGATCTGGTACGGACACACAACAGTGATTTGACTAGCAAGGACCACGCCACAGCGATGTGTGATTTAGAGGTACATGCAAATACGGAATGCATGGATTATAGAGGATGGATTAATGCATATAGAGGGGAAGGGTGATGGTGGAAGAAGGATGTCGTCTGATAGGCTGCTGGCCTGAAGGGGTGTACAGAAGACCGGGCAGAGAGACTTAGTGTGGGGGTTCCGTCTCAAAAGAGTTTATTTCAAGCCCCCAGAAGAGTCAGATTAAGGTCGGGTTTGAGTTCCTCGAGCCTGGGTCATAGCGGAGGAACAGACTTGGTCTGAAAGAGCATTTGTGCTGAAATTGCGGTTGGACGTGAGGTCCTGAGAGGAGAATGTCTGATGAAAGGTGACGTGATGCTTTGAAGCGATTTGGGTAGTTGGTATGTTGAGAGCTTTGTAGCTTTGGCAATATTGTTGTTATACATTCGTGCCAATAAAGCTGATTGAATTGAATTAATGAGAAGCTTGGGCAGATGCGGTAGAGGATGGATTCCTGTGACGCGTCAGAGAGGTTTCTTAGCTGCAGAGCTGGTAAAATGACGTGGCTGAAACGGTGAGACTGGTATTGGATGAAGATGCAGTATGGTGCTGTGGCCCGGTGTCTGAAAATGAATAAGAGATGAAAGGATGGATTGCTAATGGTCCTGTGGTGGCAGAAATGCGAGCTGCCCTGAGGATGAACCGATGTATAGCGATATTCATGAGTCTGCGAAGGAGTGAGGTGAGGAATTTCACTTGTTTCAAGTTTTTTGGCCTTAAGTAGCAAGTGAAATATTCTTGTTCTGTTGGCAGATAATTTTGCTTATTTTAAGTAAGATTTCCCCCATTTTAATGCTTTTCTTTCTTGTTTTTGAGAGCTCAGTTTTTGCAGTGTAGTGTTATCTGGGTGGATGAGTGTGGACTCACTAGACCCTTAAAACCCCCAAAGATGGCGGCTGTGATGACGAGGTAAGTTTGTGAGTGCTGAGGAAGGAAGGCTGGACTCGGTGTCTAGAAGTCTAACTCTAATGCGATCGTGGCATGGGTGAGGAGTGTCTGGAAGGACTGCGACTGAAATGATCATACCGAGGTGCAGCGCTGGAGTCTGCTGGTGTGATGGAGTAGTGCTGCTACGCAGAAGGAGCAGACATGCAGAGCCTGCAGTGTAAGAGTGCGGCCCCGGTGTTTGAATTAATGCAGACCATCGTGCCCGCTTGATGAAAACTGGCCTGCCCTGTTTGTCAGTTCCCTTTAGCGTTGGGATATTAACAGAAGGATGTGAGTCTGCGGGCCTAGGGATGATGTGAGATGGGGGCGTGGCGGGTGAGAAATGATGAACGCTGGGGTGTTTCGTCAGTAAAAAGGGGGCGTGAATGGGGTAGTGGAGCGCTTCCTATGCATGCTGAGGCTGGGTGAGGGGCTCCGATGACCTGCAAGAGAGGGATGTACGAGCTGAATAGATGCGACCTTAGAATTAAGAGTTGAGAACGCTCCAGTATGTATCCGGGTTAAATTGCAGGGTACGGCCAGCTGCCTGATTAGCGAAACGTACAATATAGCAAATGTATAATATAGCGAGATCAGTAATTAATTAATCTAGCACGTGGCCATGTGTTTTAGCGTTTGTGTGTGAGTGTATATAAACCTTTTCGGACGAGGAACAGCCCCCTCCTGTGTAGCTAGCTACGCGTTATGTGGTATGGGTGGGTGGTGTCATTGTGCTCATTAGAAAAGATGGCAAAACACTGCTGTAACCGTGGCAACAGCAGCTTCTGCGTGCGACTAAATCCAGATGAATGCGGTAGCGAAGATTGCCCAGTTTGATACCAGTTGTGTCGAGGAATGGGATTAGACCACAAACTAGCGGTTTGGTGGTTTGCGTGAATGCGGTGGTCTGGGATGGAGTCAAACGCCCGGCCTGAATTATTGTGCCAGTCCGCCCCTGGTCGGAGGTGCGGATGGTGATGTCGGATAGACTGGGACGGTTGGATGGATTACAGGCAGATGACATCTGGTAAATACTGACACTTCAAGAAAAGGCCGGCAGGAACATGGATCTTGAGTTCAGTTAATTGCTGGGGACATGTATCCTTAACGTATGGAAGGATGCAGAGATGCCATCATGCGTGATGCCACTGGCCGTGGCCGACCCTGGCAGAGAACCGGAATTGTGCGAGGCCTGGTGTTTGTTGTTGCCTGAGTATTGCTGGAGGCTATGTTGCGGTTGGAGGGAATGTTTTTCCCTCTGAGGAATTGTTGGAGGCGGGCGACGGTCCAGTCACTAATGTCAGGCTCCGTTTGTGGAGGAAGAGACGGCAGC